GTACTAGATATTAACCAGATTTTTTTTTTCCGGTTTAACACGACCGTTGTTCAGTCGAAATTAGTGTAGTGCAGTGAATTTTAGCATTTCAAGTTTTGGAACCTATAATTTACACAACTTTTTGCGAATGCGATTTGTGAGCTGGGAAACCTGCCAGTATTATGACCACATCAAGTGTGAATTAAAGACCAGGGGCCGCATACTCGAAACGCCACCTCGGTTACGTAAAGTAACGGATATGGTACAGTAACTTGGACTCCTTACGGGTTTCTCACTCAAAATTAAGCAGTCCATAACACTTGCGGTGTTACGTGAGGGGGGTGGCCGCAAAATTAGTGAAATGTACCTTATCCTAACGTAACCTTTTACTTGACTTAACCTAACCGGTAATTTTTCAGGACTAACCCTTGACCAAAAACGAATATATAAACACCGGATTTTCACTTTTTTTTATAGTGGACACTGTTTTTGCAAATGTGTTAACAAATGTTTTTTTTTTTTAAATTAACGAAATTTAAAATTTTTCCTACGTGAATGGCGGGGAACGTCGAGGAAGTGACTAACAAATTTCTTGACCGTCTAAAAGCGCAGCAGAGCACGGCCTCATTACCGATGGGAAGACAAATTACCAGGCAAATAATTATCTACAAAACGAGACCTTTGCACCAAAGATTACCATATCAGAACTCGCTGGTGAAAAAAGTAAAATTAACGGTAATACAAATAACTCGTTTGCAGGTTAGTCCTATATATTAACCACCTAACCTAAATTTAAAATGTATAATAGTGACATATGAGCACATGCATAATTGGGACAAAGGCGTTATTTGTCCTCACGTTTTCGTTGGACATTAAAAAGCATGAATTTTAGGTATGACTATTGTAATATCTTGGCGAAATATAAATATGCACATACAAAAACCCTACAATCATATAATATTACAACATAACATGGGAACACTAATTGAGCAAAAAATATCCTCCAATTTGGTGTAAAATTTATACATCCACCCTGGTATTTCACAGCTATTAATGAATTAATAGAGGGAGTTTGTATAACGTTTCTGGATTGTTTTCAATAAATTTAAGTTAGAAAATAGTCTCTGCATTGGATGTTGGAAGAGACAATACCTGCAAAACAAAGGTCCTTAAATTGGGAAACACCATCCTTAAGTTCCCCTAGTTTTGTATAAACGTCCACTGCTGTCCTTAATCTCGGGTGATACGGTAGTAGCGTCCGAGTCTCCGGATCGTGTAGTGGCTACTCTCCCCTACAACTTCCAACTGGCTCCGCCGCACTCCGACCAGCCAATCGGCGTGCAGCCAGCTACGCCGAGAGACTAGGTCTATGCAGAGGACGTAGGGGTACGATCGCCGACCTAGTCTCGACCATCAACCTCCAGTTCAGGATCAGAGCGTTTCACACCTTACGCTGGAGCCGCTGTGATTGGTCACCTCGCTACGCGCACCCCAGATCCTGATCCTGGTAAATTGTATAAATACGGCAACGCCTGCCCAGGGAGGACATCCTACACTCAACTACTGGACCAGCAACATCTCTCTCAGCTCCTCACCTAGTCACTCCTAAGCACTGCGCTGTACAACAATATATATACAGGAAGCGCATCGTGAGTTTCTATCCAACCTCATTCCTGAGTGAAGGTATCTACATGTACGTACGTTTGTGTGCCCATACAAAGAGATAATAGACAACTAAAGAGAATTGACAACTGGCCACATACAGTACACTACATTGGTGACCCCCGGAGCCGTGAACACCACACTCCATTCTGCTGCCTTACTACTTGAGCTGAGAAGATCGTCCTGCCTGCTGCCAGCCTAGGCCAACCGCCTCCCTGCACCACCCACTACTCCACAACGACACCATCTCACGATCGTAAGGTTTATAACGCATTAGTCTGTTCTCCCCCACTGGCGTTGTGAGTGACCCACATCACAGCTGGAGAGCAACTATTGTGCGATATTCCAAACGTGGTTTGAGCTCTTTTGCCTATTCTCCTATTTTTCTTTTGTTTTTTTAGTTCTGGCCGAAGGACCTGCACCCTAAAAAAGTGTATTCGTCCCGAAGTCCCCCCCGCAAGTGTTCACCTCCCTCCCAGGAGATTGTGAAGACGGAAGGGGGTCGGAACAAGCACCCATCCCTCATCCTTCCCTAACAGGTGCGATATACTCCCGCAAGAATGGACGGACGGATCTCTCTACCAACCTTCAACCACAACGTAGAGGACTGGTTAGTTCATGTCGAAGCAGCTCTCATCGGCTCTACAGCTACAGACGAGCAGAAGTACGGCGCCCTGCTCTGCTCCTTGCCCACTGAAGTCGCCACACAAGTCTCACAGATCATCTCCAACCCTCCAGAGAACAACAAATTCGCCACTCTGCGGGATGCCTTAAGAACGCATTACCAACGGACCCGCTCCAATATCCTGCAGAACCTATCTTCCATCTCCCTGGGAAACTCAACTCCAGGACATCTCTGGGAAGAGATGTGCAGGGTGAACTCCCGGTACACAGACAGACTTCCTGACTCTATCCTGCGCCAGCTTCACGCACAAAAGCTACCCACGATGTTCCTTAAGCTACGAAATCAAATATAAGATCATACAAGAGTTGGAGAAAGGAACAAGACGGGTTGATCTCGCGCGCCAGCGTGGTGTTAACGAATCGACTATCGGGACAATTAAGAAGGATGCAGCCAAGATAAAGGAGCACATGAACATCACAAAGTCTACAGGTGTTTCTCAAGACAGAAAAATTACTTGCGAGCTACTTGGTGCATCGGGCGCGACGGAACTTGGCGGTGGACGTGCGCTCGGTTGAGGAGTACCCACGTGAACTGTATGCTGCAGTGTCACGAAAGATGGGAATTACAGAGCCCAAACCCTTTAATGCTTCCTCTGGGTGGTTACGGAGGTTTAAGAAGAGAAACAAGATCGCCAATATCAACATTGGTGGCGAAGAAGCTAGTGCTGACCGTGTTGCGGCTAGGGAATTTCCTCCGTTTTTACGCGAGATTGTGGAGGAAGGACGGTACGCCGACGACCGGGTGTTTAACGTGGACAAATCTGGTCTTTTTTGGAAAAAGCTACCTTCCAAGACCTTCGTCGTGAAGAATGCCAGCAAGTGTTGGGGCCGGAAGTTGCAGAAGGAGCGCATCGCCGTCCTGTTTACCACCGATGCCTCCGGTACCTGTAAGCTCAAGTTATCGGCGATCCACACGGCACGCAAGCCGCACGCCTACGAGAGCATGGACGTGACCGGGCTAAATGTCCACTGGCCGACCGCACGTAAGGCGTGGATGTTCTCTACGCTGTCCCTCTCCTGGTTTGATGACTGTTTCGTTCCCGATGTGAAGAAATTCTGTGAGCAACAGAATGTGCCATTCAAGATTTTATTGCTGCTGAACAACGCACCAGGACACTCGCCCCTGCCGTTAGATCGTCACCCCAACGTAAAAGTGGTCTTCCTTCCTCCCGACACTACGTCTATAATACAACCCGTGGATCAAGAATTGATCTGCAATGTAAAAGCTGCATTCTCCGCTAAAAAATTCAACCTACTGAACTACTACGCCAACGCCAAGGAAGAGTTGCGTAACCCGAGTGACACCAACAACGATGGCGAGAGCGAAGACGACGAGGATCAACGGTTGGCAGAGCAAGAAGTACTTTTAAAACAATTCTGGAGAACATTCAACATCAAGAAAGCTGTGGACTTCTTGGTGGAGGCATGGGATCGGCTGTCTGTAGCCACCGTTCGTCACGCACGGAGACGTGTTGCAAGGTATTCCGGGTGTTAGGCAGAGTAAATCTGTGACTGGTGAGGTTCAGACTGTTGCAGTAGCAGTGGACCTTGCCAGAGAAGCTGCGCAGAGTGTTACGGCTGCAGGCTTCTCCGAGACCGCCGACGACGACGTCCTGGAGGTGACGAGGGCTCCTGATGTGACTACCGGATGACGTGGTAGACGACGACGACGTCGGTGAAGAGGCAGGTGGTGCGTCATCCCAAGAAGAATGCCGCTTATCCCATAGTAATGTTAGGGGTGCCGTCGAGTGTATCGAGAAAGTCGAGCTCCTCCTTTCCGACGACCCCGACGCAAACGGGTGTGAAATCTTCGCTACCCGGCTGTTGCAGACTATGGAGCCCTACATCGAGGTTTATCAAGACGACACTGACACCGGCCGTCGGCAAAGCATAACGGAGTTCTTCGCCCGCAACCCACCACGGCCAGCCCAAGCCAGTGATAATGACAGAGGCAGAGACAGTGATGATGACTTTGAGGGATTTGTCAGGGAGGCACTAGTAAGTGTGGATGACACCGATGAAGACTCACCCGAGGGCCAGTAGCCTGCCCTCTGCCTCGGAACCAGCCTCCATTCCCCTGCGCCGACCCGTCTCTTCTACTAACGTAAGTGTTAACCCCGACCTTGTTTTTTTCTAACCTAACCTTCAGTTTATTGACTGTTCCCTTCTATATTATGTGTGGGTGAATACCATCATAAAGTCGAGATGTTATTTTTAGTAAAACGTACGTATTGTGTCGGAAAAAGTGGAGTTTGGGGGGTCGGCCCGGTCTCTATTTCAATTAATCCCGTATGTTATGTCGTTCACTTTACGCGGGCCGCCGTGGGTTGAATTAACCGCGTAAAGTGAGGGTTCGCTGAATGTGATATAATAAAAAAAAGACCATAAATAAATACAAAAAATAAAAGATATTAATAGTGAGAAACAATATATGTACCTATGTTGTGTTGTCAAAGTAAGAGAAACAATTGAAACCCTGCAATTGTGTGTAAATGAGGCAGAAAGTCAGAACTTGGTCACAATTTTTGTGATGCCACATCGCAGCGGGGTCTACCGTCGGACGCGTCGTGCTTCCGACGTCTTCCCGAGCGGTGGTCGACCCCGTTTGATGGCTGCCTGCTGTCGTACTTGAACGACAGTCAAATGTTCATACAACTTGGATAATAATACACCCATTACATTACTTAAATAGTATTTATTTAAGCTCCAGGGACTGCGTGTAAAAATAATAAATCTCAAACTTACACGTTAGTTGCCAACTTCTATTTACAATGACAGACGGGCGTAATCGCCGGCTCGGAAATGACGAATAAAAGGATTTGCTATAAACAAATTTTTATATCACTGAAAACAAACCTAAAATTAACACCATGACTAAGACATTTACAGTGGATAAACAAACATTTGTTTCTGTAAATGAAGAGACTATTCTTTGGAACTCTTCAAAATGGAATATAAATCTCAATATAATTTTCACTAAAAGGTTTAAAATATCTATTGGACAAAATGACTAAAGAACTGTAGAGTCCAATACACTGGCATCATAACCAATGCTATACAGATATCTATGTTACAATATTGTACGTCGTGAGAGCCCCGAATGCGGATTTCGGGGAATGCGGTTTCCGCTCTTGGACGAGTCCGTTTTCATTTGGGGATTACACATTTTCATTCATAAACTTTTCAAATACACCGTCAATAAATACTGTACTCGTATTCTTTAACTTTTTAGACCGATTCATTCCAAACATTATCAATTTTATATACGGCAAATTACCGTTACGTACTACGCGGACCACAGATTTGGCGAGTTATATTACGGTACGTGCTAAATTATAGGAGACGAACTATGAGTGCAACAACGAGGGTAGGACAACTACTGGAAAAGTAAATGCTTTTACGTTGTATTATTCGGTGTCGACGACTTGCATATTTGTCGTTGGCTGCTATTTAAAAATAAATATGGCAGGATTAATTTTTGTAGGGATCTAGATTGCAAGTCACAGAATTCATACAATTAGTACTTTGTTTCTTTATCACCAACATCCATGTCAGTCACAATGTTGTCTGATTTTTGCATTACAGTAGTTGGGATCACATAATGGCTAATGACCTGAACTTAACCTGAACCAAGTGGGTGACCTCAATTGTAAGTTCTCAGGCCCTAATGGTCCCAACACCTGACACAGAGTATCTTTTAACTCCCTGCACTGGTTACGCGAGCGTTCTTTCGCGGCGCGGGGTCTGCCGACGCCGACCCCGCGAGCGTGGCACTTTGTCCGCGAACGCTCACTTCTTCATTAAGCCTCTAACGCGTGTCATACACTTATTAACAAATGAGGATTTTCGACCGATGTCGTCTGCAGAAGTAACGGACGAACGCCTCGAAGACGCGATGGAGGACCTGGAGGAATCTTCGGGAGGATGCATTTCCTTACTGCCTCCGACGTCCTCTTCTGTGGATGACGGCCGGCCGGATTCTTCCTCGGTTCCACACTCCTCTTCTACTATTGGACTATTATCACAAGGAATGCTACTCAACCTCCGCCGAAAAGTTCGAGGCTCTGCACCTTGCTGCTGCTGCTGCTGCTGCTGCTGCTGTTGTTGTTGCTGCTGTCCTGATTGATGCTGATGTTGCTGCTGCAGATATTGTTCACAGGAGGACACCACATCAGTAGCAGTTTCTGGGTCAGATGCAACAGCATTATTAGTATCCAAGCCCGTGTCTAGACTAAGAGAGCGCGAAGGAGGAAGCGTGCGGCGATGCGGACGTGGCAGTAGAGGCGAAACTGCTCCCATTCCCCGACCGGCTGCACCCCTCACCGGGAGACGCGGTACGGGGCTGGCTGCTCTACCGCCCCACCTCATAGGTGAAACAGATCTTGGGCTACTTGTGGCTAATAATCTGTAAATGATCATCCTTCATTAGTAATCAGAGTTGTTGTAAAGCTGTTTGGATAATATACTTCAATTCTGTGTTTTTCTTAAAGATTGGGGAAGTGACACTTTTATCTTTCTTCCTTGCATATTATAACCTATGAAAATTTTTTCTGAATTTTTCAGTGCCTTAAAGATTATACAATTAACTAAAAGAAACAACGACAACACATTATCTTGCACGTTAGCCTAAAACGTCAGATTGCGTCCACTCGCAATATTATCTCGAAAATTAACTTCTCCGCCCGTCGGGATGATGTAATTCCCGACGAGATGGCGTCGGTTCCGCGACGTTATTTTTCTTCGCAGTAATGCATTTAAACTCCCGTGTCCAAATTTATCCTTCGACCTGTCTCGAGACATACTGTTTTCTGATAGAACTTTAAGGATAGCTTTAAAATCTTCCCTAAATATTTCTACACCTGATCACATTCACAGATATAACAGAACTTGAACCATTGAAAATGTGTTGGTTGACAATTGTCTGTAAAAGTTGATACTCAATGGCAAAATATTAAGACTCCTGCAAACACATAATAGCAGAAAAGTACTGTAGATGGAACTTGTCAAGGAAAATACTATGGCTAAGGGAAAGAATCATCAATGGAAGGGGATTTCTCTTAACGTCGCCCATTACATTTTTCGGGATGTCCACAGCCAAATGATCTCCGGTCTAAAATATACAAATTCGTGTACCCTTCCTCACCGTCTATGTTTAACCAATGCAGGGTCGCCCCGTCAGTCTTTGGGGTCCTTGTCCGAACACGACGAACCCTTCCCGCTCTCCGTACTGGTCGTGCGTTGATAGAGTGGCGGTGCTCTGGGCAAAGTCGACGGCGTGCCCGGAGTAGCCATACCGCCCTCCACGCTTCTGCTGACGTAGCGGCTGAGCGGACCGTCCCCGCGCACGTTGCATTCTCCGCGCATAAACCTCTCCATTTTGTCTACGCAGGCATCTTGATAGTCGTGGATCCATCTGTAATAGAAAGATGACGTTAGCTACCGACTCGTGCTCGGAGACCGAAAGAAAATGACGAGAAATTGCACGAGTAAAAATATACGAGAGATGGCCGTCCAAACCAGAGACAAGAATATATGTGTGTGTGTGGGGTATATCCATTTGTTGTCTTAAACACTGTCCCGTTACAGTATTTCCTACACTCGTCTAATATCCCACAAACTCCCCGCTCTTCTCTAGTTTCTACGTGTGTCGCTCGTTCCGCCCTCCGCAGAAGTACGAGACGAGTAAAAATACGTTGGTGTATATTTTTATTGTAAAAATGTGTAACACACAATGTGGTCTGCACACGTACCTGACTCCGTTAAAATAGCAAACCGCTCGCATGTCTTCCGGTAATTCTTCGGGATCTGGCCACTGGAAGTTATCGATGATGGGGATGATTTTGCAACCAGACTGCAGTGCAGCGACAATTTCCTTCAAGAGAAAAAACAACTATTAATATCTTTATTAAAAGAAAAAAACAATTTTTTACACCTGCGGGAATATTCCAACGGGCCGTGCCGAACGCCCGAGAGTGCCGTAGCTCGACGAAACTCTCTCGGTGCATCTCCGGTTACGAGATAAACTGCCGTACGATCGAAGACGAGACTCGCGTCGCGGTTTTGTCCGAACATTAAATATAACTCGCGAACCATTACGACAACGCTACCGCAAGGCGGAGCTCGCCAAAAGTTTTAGCCCTAGGGCACGCGTTTTCGCCAAATTTCGCGACGCGACTCTCGTCTTTCGTCGTAAACCGTAAGCGTTTTAACGACCTTATCGGTATAAATCTCTAAACCGTAATGAATTACCAGATATGACTATTAAAAACATACAACCGCAGTGCTGAATATGTAAGGCAGCGTCAAGAGAGAGAAAGCACCAATACTTGACTGTACAGTACAGTACTATAAGAGCTACCCGTTTCTTTGTGTTAAAAGTATAAGTTATTGAAATGTACAATATTCATTACGATATTTCTTTTTATAATTTAATTTTTTCAAACATACTACTCGTGTTCTTAAACATGTCTGATATTTTTTTGAGAATACTAAATTATTATTATATTTTAGGACGTGCAATAAACGCAAACCGAATAGAGTCTGATCGTCTGTTCTTTGCAATGATCAGACTTTTAGGTTCCCGTTTATTGCACGTCCTAGAATATGACTGTACTGTATATGGTTACTGAATTATATGTGACAATTATGGATTTATTATATTTTTTTAAGGTGTATAACCATTTTTAAATGTTTCCTGATATTCTAGAAACAAAAGTAACAGCTAACTGGTAACTGTCTACAAGTAGCAGCCATAAAAGAAGTAGTGTTACAGAAATTTGATGTAACTTCAGTTGTCAGTTTGAAAAAATGCTCAGAGTAGATTAACCCATTGACTATGACAGTTCAAGCCTTTAATAACAATGTTTAAAGATGATGAATTAACCCTTTAAGGATGAGTTATCATCTTAAATACTATAATTAAAACCATCATCCTCAAAGGCTTAATGAGACAACAAACTTTAACTAATGATATACTATTATGATTATTCTTTTCATCTTATGTTGCTTAAGGGGAAAAAATATACAACAAATGCATTTTCAATACATACCCTGTGAACCCAATCTTTGCACTCCGTGTCGCCGATGCATCTGTCGAGGGCATTTGGCGTTAGGACCAACAGGAAGTTCTTGGCTTGCCGAATCGAATTTAGTAAATTGTTATCGAATTTCCCAGCTTCTAATCGTTCCACGTCAATGAATACGCTGAATTCTTTGAGCTGCATGTGAACCTTTAGTAAACTGCAAGAGAAAGAATATTTCCATTACCATTGGGTGATAAACTGCATTCCGCTCTATTGGACGGACCGAATTCAAAATCGACACGTGCATTTTTAAATCCGCGCGCTTACCTCGCTAACTGTGAGCCGTTGGAACGTCTGTAGCTGATGAAAACATCTAGGGTCTTATCTAGGGAATTAGCATCTTGGAGTTGGCCGCTTTCATCTGTAAAAGAAGCAATAATCGTTAGATTTTCCTTCGTAAAGTTTCCATTGGGCTCTACTAATATTAAAAGCATTCGTGAATTAACATTTTATATTCCTATTAATATTTTATGTGGACGCTCTTCCGTTTAAATATTTCACCCGAATCAAAATGTCACGAATGTGCAATTATGAGGAGTACTGCACATTATTTCCTATTCGCAATAAAAACTTACGGTACAACTAGTTAATTACGCGACTGTTAACGTAATTGCCCCTAAAAATTGGGTCCTACTCAGATCATTACCTAGTTAATAAAAAACACACTATATTATCATATATACCTGTATACAATAATTGTTTGATAAGACTTGTTACTTACAGCAATTTAGCTTTTCACATCCTAAGATGGTTGCATGAAATTAAAAAAACAAAATACTAAAGACATATTACAAACTATGTAACTACAAATCACTTTTCATTATGACAAAAAATTGTCTTACAAGATGTGAAAAATACTTCATAGCCTTTATAAAACTGCAACATTAGTTGGCAAATACCGTAACTAAAACTTACTCAATATTATGTCTCTAATTCTTTGCCGATGAATTGAATTGTTGATGCCACACTCCGTTACTAGCTGCTCTTCGGTGAGATATCTGTCGAGAAAATTAAACATTGCATTCAACCTCGAGCATTTAATTACAGTATCGGTTTTTGTATAATGCATTTCTCACGAAATGCAAGAATACTGTACAGTATTATCAAAGCCCTATTCGAATGTTCCAATACATAGAGTTTTTATGCAGTTTCACATATAATACAAATAACAACCGTTATATCATTAAAGAAAATATCTGTACACTCGCCTGAGACAATCTCGAGTGACTCCGGCTCGCAGCATGCGGTAGGTGTACTCGGCAAATTCTTTGTCTATTTCTACCATAAATTCGTTGAGCCTGGTGGAATCGCAGGAAGAAAAATCGGCGAGGTGTTTCAGTTTTCTTAGTTCTCTTAGAAATCTTTGCCTGAGAATGCCATTTTTTACGCCTATGTCCTCGCGAAGGTTTTCCTCCGTCATCTGCAGGAGGAGATCTCCGTCCACTCTAGAATTTACGAAGTCGTCGCCGTGTTGTGAAAATCCAATTTGCTTCACCCATTCCTTTACGTCTTCGGGTGTCCACAGCGGTACCTGTTGGCTCAGTTTGTGTGGGACCTCCTCTCCGATGAGACGCAGCGCCTGTACCGCGTACTTGCTGGCAATGGCGTTGGGAGAGCTCGCGACCTCTTTCAGAGGTTCGACGGCGCCGATATCCCTGAAGAGCTCGATATTTCCTTGTCGTTTCTTGATGCCGGCTTCCATGCAGAAGTGGAAAGCTGCCAAATTTCGGGCTTCTTCTCTTTTACTTCTCAGGACGGGTAGAAGTCTCTGTAACCAATTCTGACTCTGTCCGTGACGGTGTGCCACCGTAGAATTGGCAAATTGATCCGGAATCTGGTTCATGACGAAGGGTTCTACGAGATTCAGAGTTCCGGACTGTAGTACGGCCGCTTCTAATTCTTTGTTGGCGACGAGAGTGGCAATGGCCAGACAGGCGTAATATTTGATGTTGTCGTCGGAGTGAAAGGCGAGAGGGAAGAGCCACATTGGAACTTTACGTTGGATCATCGCTTGCTGGTTGTCCGACCCGCCGTATAAGGACAGGTTTGCCAGAGCTCCGGCGCAGTGTCTCAACGTCTCGACGTCGGATTTTCTACATTCCGACAGCACGGCGTCCAGACCGCCTAACTGTATGATATCCGAGCACGTTCCTTCGCTGTGCTTAAACAGATGTTCTAGTATGCCCGTTCCAACGCGAGATTTATCTATGGAAGTGCCATTCTTTGTGCAGTCGCATGCAACATTTACTACATTTTCTAGACCTTTCTCGACCACGTAGCCCCGGTTTTCTGTCGTGAGGCACTGTTCCAACACTTTAGCACTCGTAAACTTCAAATCCGAGTCGTCGGATCGACAGTTATCCAGGAGGAGGTCCATGCCGCCGTTGTTTCTCAGAACGTTACACAGGGAAAAGCCCAACTCGTGTCCGTAGATGGGCACCGACCAGGCTTTTCTCATCATGTCGTCGATATTTTCGAGGAGAGACGGAGCGTCGTTGATGCATTCGTTGACGGTCAGAGATTTCAGCTGCTCGACGAAGGAGGACATCACGCCGGAATAGCGCATGATGGCATTCTGAATGTCTACCGGTTGCGATGCGGCACTCAGATTGTCTAGGTCGTCGAAGCCGGTGATGTGCACGTTGCTCTGCGAAAAAACGGGGAAAAAAAAGAAAATTTAAATTTGAGGAATAATGTTAGGTGGGGAAATTTAAAATTAACCAACGCAAGATAATTAACACAGTATTACCTATTTTGTGTTATGAAAGAATAGTGTATTTCTTACCTGTGAAGCAGTCATGGAGGAAGACTGCTTGGTACACACGCCTTTGGTCTTTATGGTGAGGCCCGACGTGGCTGCCTGCCGGGACGACTCCTGGTTGATGGTGCCTGCGGGAGTTTTTGTCTGGCGCTGTTGCTGTTCGCTGACGGCTGACCTGTGGGCAGAGAAACCCTCGCCTGCCACTCTCATGGTAGCGCCCTTCACCTGAGATTCCTCGCGGTGATCCACCTCGCCGGCGCGCAGCTGCCGCGCCTCCTGCAAAATGACACCTCAAGTTAACGGTCGTCCGACCTCCACGAGACTTAGCTCGTTAACCGATACGGGGTATTAATATTTATTTAATGGTGTGGAAAAGTTGACAAAATGTCTAAATCAATTTAACAGTCTCATCTTACTTTGTCTTAGAGTAACATGTGATTATGAAAGTTGTGATAAACAACGAATTTAAAACTAAAGAAGAAAAAGTACATAACAGAACACAGTACAGGTCGATGTGGTTCATGTATTGTAAGCAGTGTAAGGTTGCTAGTTTTGAAACTCTTGGTAGTCAGTCAACCACAGATATTGGTACAGGTGTATACCATTATGTACTGTGTGTGGATTACCTAAATAAAAAGTGTTGTTCAAAATTTTGGCAGGTTTTTAAATCTAATTTTGTACCGGATAACATGTTAACATTAAAACCAGATTCCTTAGGTCAGTGTGTCATTTATGAAATGTTGAGTTTATCATACAAAATATTCAATACCATATGTACATTATTCCCAACCGAGCCGTCATAAGACACCTAAGTGTAGGCTGCGTCATTCTTCCCACGTACCTCCTTGATAGCCTGAACCTGGTACTTGGTAGAGGAGCAGCAGCAACAGCAGCAACAACAACAGGAGCCCTGAGACACCTGTGTCAATGTTGGACCACTACTATCTTTCCTCTCCGGCACACAATACTGGCGCCCATCACTCACACTCAGTTTAGGTGAGGTGTGTGTGGAGGGATCGCTGTACGCCTTTTGGTTTATGCAACTACGTAACACTGAAGATTTTCTTCCACGTGACCACACACCAAGTTTCCGGCGGACATTGTTACCGAGAGGGCTAGACGGAATGGGAGGGGAATCCCCTGCCAGGAGGGCCTGACCACTACCACCAGGTAAGGAACTCTGGCAGGTGTGAGGTTCACTAGGCGGGAGGGATCCGTCGGGTGAGGTGCCAAGGCAAGTGTGGGATGCCTGACAGGTGTGTGGTGAGGAACCCCGAGTATGGGCAGCACATCCACCGCGTACTCCACACGTCTTGGCCAGACGTTCGCCACACTGACTGTTGGGGCTGAGCAACACCCAGAAGATGTCGAAGTTGATGACGGCCCATGGTAAAGGCGAGGTGACGGTGGAGGCTGCGGCAATGTGACCACCGCGTGTATTTATGACGCTAGAGTGTTTCTTGAGACCCAGCGCCGGCAGCACACCAGCCAGTACACTGTCACTCACACGCCTACGCTTCTGCATCACCTCACTTCCCGCGACCGCCACTCCAACTTGGCTTTATATTACACCTCCCCAACGTCACTATCCACCCTTGTCGATATCAGAGTTTATTACAGTCACACGTGCATAATATAAATCTACTAGTATCACTATAGCATCGCCATGTTCAATCTTCATCATTCACGTGACACCGTCCTCAGATGAAGCCACCAAGGATAAAGCTTCAACTCGATAAGTCATTTTACCACACATGTGTAACCATGGACACACACGCACATCACTGATAAACCAGTTTTAGTTCCTATAACTCTAGAACCTTGAGAGAAAACACCAGCACAAAAAATTATTCTCACAATAAAATGCGGACACAATATTTTCAATTAAATATTTGATACGAGACAAAGTAACAATTACAACAGTGGAAATAATTATAATGCACAATTACTGGCGAGAGCAATCGGAGGCAGCCAATACCGTTGGCGTAAATGTTTACACAGTGACTGGAGTATTTTGCGCGAGATTATAGTACAGCCGCGCGGGTCTGCCAGTGTAGAGGTGCGAGCGGCACTATACGCTGGCCCCAGCCCAGTCTACCACCAACCTGACCCACACCACTCATTAGTATGCTCCACCCACCCCGGATATCCTTCACTCCGCTTCCTCGTTCACCTCCTATCTACCCACTCCGTCCTCTGATCCTCCTCTGTTCAACATTGTAATCCTCACTGCCCCGTTTCTCGTGTTCACTGGTTAACAACTTCACTGCTCAGGCTGGCCATTTCACACGGATTCTGCACCACCAGAGGCTTGACTCGAACACTGCCAGGTATTAGCCCAGACTCCACATCCAATCTACTCTTTCGTCAGCCAAAGAATACACTCGGGTCCCCCCTCCCCACTACCCAATTTACCCTGTTGCTTCACCTGCCAACACTTACACCCCCCAAGTGCCACCTTCCTCTCAGTTTCTATGACGGGTAGCCACAGTGCCACTGTATCAGCCAGCACCTACGCCCACACTGCCCCTGCCGTCCCACGCTTAGATACCAAAACAAATCCTAAATAACCTTTCCTCTTTCTATTATTGCCCTCAAATTTACGTACACCTACTTTATTTTTCTTATTCCTCGTTTGCATTACTGGCTTTGTAATTCTCCCTCATCTGTCAGGTACAGTCTGACACTTCTTACCCCCGTTGGCGTAATCATTCATCGTCCTCACAACACAAAATTTGCCATCGTTTTCTCCACTTCCCCATACCGGAGAGTTATTCGCTTCATGAGACCACAAGGCACATTTAAGTGAATTACCCAAGTGATAGAACACAAAGAAGGCTTCAATTACTCCCTGTAGCCTTCTCACCCTGTTCACCCCCACATTGATGCTTTCAATTGGGGTGATCGGTAGAGGCGCCGTCCGCACTTACCTAACAAATCTGTCCGTTATACAACTATACAACCTTTTAGAGAGCGTACACGGTACACACACCTCTCTCATTAATACACTGCTGATTTTCCTTTCCGGATAACTCATGCCATTAGCACTAAGTAGAAACATCGAGCAAGAAAGTTTACCGAAAACTGAATCACTTCCCAGAACACGAGTTGCGACAAGAACCTAGAGACGCTCTGGTAACTTTATGGTTACCAGATACAAGTGCGCGTTCATTAATTCATTGTTATTGGTTAAACAAATCTTATTTCAAGAAACAAACTTCCGTGGTTTCATTTTTTTTTCACATACCCACTCAAGAGTCATGAATGTCAACGTTTAGTTTGGATATATATTTTTTCTATTCAAAACACTTTTTTTTCTTGCAAACTCACATCACTTATTCACAACGCATCTTGAATAATATTGTTTACTGTTTAAAATAATTGCACTAAGCCGTTCGAAATTTATTAGAACCAATAAAACCTTTCGACCACACATTTCTTTATAGTTCTGATAAAGCCGCGTTTTATTCACAAATATCATAAAGTAGTTTCTATAAATCACTGTATTGAATAAAACTTCAACAACTGTAATGCTAAGTTCACAACTATAAAACACTTCTGTCCATTACAGTATCAATCAGTGGTGCATAAAACGTGCGTAAAACTCGAGGGTCCATCTAGATTTACACGAACTGTAGTAGTAGTAATATCCAAGGAGGGTGGACCTCCAAACGGGGGTTGTTGCAGTCGACACAGTTCCCGGGAGACTGGGCACGCTTCCTACCCCTCCACCGCACCTCCCCTTACCCCGGCCACGACCTCCAGCATACCTCTGGCACTCCACGCACGTACAGTGCTGCTTAACAGTATTTTTCAGTAGTGTTCCAATATAGACTCCCATGATAGCCAAGCGACAACCTAGGTAGCAAATATTAGAGCGTTACTTCTCTAGTGTAAGTCACCGAGAGTAATGCGACCAACTGTGTACACTATGGCTACTTTAACACGTCAAAGAGAGGGTAATAAGTGTATTTCACCTTAGGGAAAGGTATGACCAAGAGATTTCGACATTTCTCTGACTGCTACCCTCTTTCTCGAGTAGTTTTGCAATGCCAGAGAAGAGAAAAAGTAACTTGAGGCTGTCGCAACAAGGAGGTGCCTGGTCGCGACACTGATCCTCTTCGACCTCTACAACTCGGAGGGAAAGTAAACGGGAAATATCGATATAATGACGAACAAGAACCAATAACCTGGCCATGACGTCACCCTGGCTGGTTAACAAGGTGGGGTGCGGGGAGAAAGTTGAGGTAGTGTCCTTGACCTTACGGGAGATGAACTTCCTCTACCATCCACCGTTGACCCTGGCCGCGCACCACCACCACTACCCTTCTGTGTACTCTTGCCCACACCCGTTCGCTACACTCTTTTATTCTGCGGTTCAGCTGATCCTGTTTTAATACGCTTAATTGTATTTACCTATGTCTTATCAGTCTCTATATCTTCTCTCTCTTACCATCCGTCTGTCCGTCTGGTTGTCCCCGAAAGACCGTCTTGTTGTTCCCGTCTTTCTGCCTCTGCCTACCTGTTAGTCTCACGCCCAAGCATTGCAACACTATATACCACGTTTCCTGAAGCCAAGGTCTGTGTTGGGTTGTGGTGCATGAGAGGGTAGGGAAGCAAGCAGGCATGGCAGTACAATGAGTCACCGGGAATACTGGAAGTGAGGGGCAGGTCGTTCCTGAGGCCCGCCGGCACCCGCCTCAACTTCCGCACCGCCTCCCTCAAGGACAAACACACCAACCGTCCATGACAATAACGCAACACACAGGCTTCCCGGGCTACGTATGGTTTGATTGACATCATTGGGCATGATTCCTAAGCTCATTCACATTCATTAAAGCAAAATATCTGATGTACAGTATATATAACACGTGTGAATATTTTTAAAAGTCGGGCAAATGATGCGTTTGGTCAAGTGACTTCCACAAAATTAGACGGAATCCACGAGCGAGATGTTGTCCCGCGCGTTAATATTGGAGCTTTCGTGCGGTGCCAGTGGTGCCATCTGTTGTCCTGACTCACAACACACCGCCCTCACCACCCGCCCTCACCACCCACCCTCACCACCCACTTATTTACAATACCGACATTTGAAGCTATCTTTCCATTCTCATAAAACACGTCTTTCATCCTTGTTACTAAATAATATTTTAGGTACTCGCTAATTTTCACTTGAGCTACAACTACTGCAGGCACCTACTGTACTTTGTTAGTGTAGGCAAATGAACAAGCAGGATCCTTCGGCAATTGTTTTAGAAGTGCAGTAAGGTGTCTGA